CGCCTTTCCGGAACGTGTGCTGGATGTACTTCAACCCTGACACAATCTCCCTGTTCACCTGTAGAGAGAGAAGCAGGGGCTGGGCAGGACATCTCCACTCACACTGCCCACCTTGCCCGCAGAAGGAGCCCATTCCCCCAGCATATTCCCCCTTTCGGGGTGCAGGTGCTCCCCGGGCCGGGATCCGGTGACCCGCTCGGTCGGTTCCCAGATCGGAATCCTCACCCTAAAGGAGATTTTTATCCGGTATTCCACGCCCTCCTTCAGCACAAACGCCTGTTTCTTGTAACTGTCCAGGTCACCTGTGAAGAAGGGAGAGGGTTGCTCAGAACCCCTCTGTGCTGTGTTTTGCTGTGGCACAAGCAGCCAGGGTAGGAGCAGCAGGAGCAGGGAGTGGCCCTCACTGCAGGGCCCTCCATGCTGCTGTAGCCGGGTGAGCAATGCCCTGCAACAGGACACTGTAGCACAACCATTCAGTTAATTCCAGAGTGTTCCTTTGCAGACGTTTTCCCCAAGGCTGTCACCATCTCAAAGCTGCCACCATGCAGGCTGGAGGAACCGGCCTGCCCCATCCAGCCCCTCACACCTCCACAAAGCACCCAGGTGCTGTGGCACCAGTGCCAGGCTCCAGGTGCAGAACGCCCCAGGGCCCAGGCACCTTGCTCTGCTCTGCCTCCAGCACCCACATTTCTGACACAGGAGGGCTCGCCCACCTTGCCACCAGTGCTCCTGCCAGCTCTGCCTGGGAGCAGGGCTGGAATTCCTTCCCAGCTCACCTGTCAGGTCCAGCTCCAGGGGGCCCGGAGCAGTAGTGCAGACCAGCGTCAGTTTGGTCACCACCACATTTGGAGCATTGGGATCTAGAGACAAGTGAAAAGGCTGTTAAACACCTGTCCTGACACCGTCCAACAGGGCTCCTTTTCCTTCCAGGGCATTTCTTGAAAGTGGGAGAACAACCTCTCTTTCTGTGAGGGTCAGGGCTCCTGCTGCACCACACCCAGCCCACAGTGCCCCTGAAGGCCACCCCCACCCGTCAGTCCCATTCTGGGGGGGAGCAAGACACAGCTTTGTGCTCCCAGCTGTGCTCCTGCCCAAACAGAGCTGGGAGAACAGCTCCCAGGTGGAGGCAGGAACGAGGCTGGAGGGGACCGACACGTCTCAGGGCTCACCTGCACTCACGGTGACGGCTCCCAGCAGCGCCTCCTTGTACTTGCGCAGGCTCTCATCGTCCTTGTCCAGCTCCTGGATTTCCTGGATGCTCTTCTGGGCAGGTGGCTTATAGTTGACAGAGTGTTCATCCTCCTCATTCTCAGCTGCAATCTGGGCCAGCTGCTCTGCTGTTGGCTCCTGCTCTGCCATCCTCACACGCACAACCCACACTGAGGGGAGGAGGAGAGGTGTGACTGCCCCGAACACCCTCCACAGGCTCCCGCTGTCCCCAGGAGTACACAACCCTGCCAGGGGCCTCCAGCACCTGCAGAACCCTCCAGAGGCCAGGTCTCATCTTCAGCTCATGGAGGCCCAGGTAAGAGGGAGGAAAAATTCAATCTCAGTGCTTTGTTTGTGAGCTGGAACAGGTAAATACCCCAAAGCCATAGTGAAAACACTCTCCTCCACAAGATCCACTAGGTGAGGCTTTCACTTGGAATAAACCCGAGCCCAGAATAAACCTGAGCCCAAAATAAACCCGACTCCAGAATAAACCCAGTTATGCTCTCCATAACACAAGATTCCAGCTAAGAATAGGCCCCTGTCCCATCACTGGCATGAATGCTGGGAGCCTCTGCTGGGATCTGGCACTCATGGTTTGTAATTCAGTCAAGTCAGTGCTATGTGCCAGTTGCCTCGGTGGGTAGGTTGAGACACCTGGCTCAGCCCTTTCCAAGGATCTGCGGCACACGTGACCAGGGAAACAAGCAATGGAGCAAACAAGGTGCAGAGCCCGGCTCAGCTGCTCAGGACTCTGCCCAGGAAATGCCCAGCTGCACTGAGGGCTGGGAAAAGGTGATGCCAACACCCCATTAAAATTCTCAGTAAAAATCAGTGACACCCTCAGGAATTCCTGGTGTTCCACAGGGCACACTGTCTGAAGGGTCATCCTAATGCAAATATCAACTTGGACTTTCTAAAGATGCAGAACAGTCTGGCACAGTTTTAGAAAGGCACCGGGGGGACAATGGGACACCACGGGGTCATACCAGGGCTCTGGCCCTGCACAGCACATGCGTCTGTACCAGGAACTTGTCCTGCTGTACCTGTGCAGCTGCAGCTCCCACAGCCACTGGCACTACCCCTGCACAGAACAGCAAACAGCTGGCCCTTCCACATGGCATCCTCCAACATCCTCACACTGAATGCTGTGGAAATTTGTCTTCAAAAGGACATTTAATCTCATGTCACACATGAGCAACTGATTTCACCCCAATGTCTCCGTATCAGACCCAGTCCCTTCCCTCATGCACTTCTCCCAAACAGTTGTTGGGCTTGAGGACTCCCAGAAGCACTAAGCAAACACTCATTCACACACCCTGCACTGCTCCATTTCCCCTCCTTCTGTCCTTGGGCTCTCCTCCGGGCTAGATTCCGCCTCCCAGGCACCACAGGTCACGCTAACTCCCACACCTTGCTCAGAGGACACCTGCAGCTTCCAGGAAGCGGAAGTGATGGACTTTCAGCTTTACAGAACTGAAGTCCCGAGTCCCAGATTCCTGCTGACTCCCAAATTCTGTGACTGAGCCCTCTGTGAGAGCACACTAACCACACACCTGTCAGAGCATCCACCAGCACCCACCCCTGTATCCCCACCAGTGCTGGGTACCCTTTCACGGGTGAGCATCCACAAGCACCCTCCACTCTGCGGATCCGCAGGGTCACAGGAGCCTGCAGGAGGCAGCAGGAGGCCGAATCTCTTCCCACCTGGGAATTTGCACTCTGCCTTCACTACTCCCTCAAGCCAGCAATTCCTCCCGTATTCTCAGAGGAGCTGCAGCAGCAAATGCAGGAACCCCACCTCCTGCCAGGCAGGAAAACTGCCAGGAATATCCCTGCTTGAGTCCAGGAGGACAGTGGGAACCAGCGACTCCACACCCCGGGATCCCGATCCCACGGCCCCAGGAATGCAGCGTTAGTCAGAGTCTCTTCAGATGAGCTAATCGGCTTCCGATGTCCATCGGGCCTCGGCGCAGCCTTGGACACGCAGCAGCGCCAATTCCAGCGGTCTCCACCCTTCCTTCTTCCCCTGTGGCGCAGGGAAAGCCTGCACAGCCACCCGGAGAACTTGGCTGGAATGCAATCCAGCAATAATCGTTTCTGCAGGGCCCTATCCCAGCCTAGTCCCAGTTCTCTCTGCCAGTACTGGGAGCCAGAACGGCCCAACTCGGCCCGGCTGCTCCACAGGGACAGCTCGGATGGTTCTCAGGGCAGTACAGCGGAGCAGGAGGACACACCCGCACAGGAGGGACGGGAACCTCGCTGACACTTTCCGAGGCCAGGCGCTGCCCTCGGGAATTTGCGCGGAATTTGGGCACTCCCAGGTACCGCTGCTGCACCAGTCGCTTCGTAAAAGCATCCCAGGGACCTCTCACCCCGCCAGATCCCTGCCCCTAGCAGGAAGAACTCTAGGAGCATGGGGATGCGCTGCTGCCCCGCGGGGACTCAGCAGTCCGGGCACGGAGGATTTTTGTTTTCCGTTTTGCTCTGACATAACCCCGACCTGCAGTGCACCTACGCGATGAGCTGTGCAGAGACAGACCGAGGGTGCGAGAAGCTCCATGCGCCCACAAACAACTGCAGAAGCAGAAAGGCCTCCAGCAGTGCTGCACCCGGGATGCAAATCGGTTCCATGGGCACGCGGGGCTGGCACCGAACCCGCAGCAGCTCCGCAGCCA